TGACACGCGTGTCATAGGTTCGCCATCACTGGTCTAAGCTAATCTTGTCAACCTTTGGCTTGCCTAATTGTGTTGCTTATCTGGAGTCTCTGTCTGACCCAGTCTTTCTGAATGGACTACCAAACCTGCATTTCTAAAAGCTGGCCACCTCAGTTTCTGCTTGGGGCAGGGAGACTGGGGTTGATTTTTCTGCATTTCTCCTCAAGGGGAAATATTCTATCCTGCCTTTTTAATATTCCCCAAAATATTTCATTCTGTAGGAAGGGTGGATGGGTGTTGTTAAACACGAGATAATGAATATTTGGTGAGTCACTATTTAACCAATACACACTGGAAATGAACTTGCTAGCAGTAAAAAAGGTAGCATTTCTGTTTTCTTAATGTCTGTCAAATCATCTAAGATCGCCGACTGTCGTTAAGTTTAATGAGGTAAGCCAATTGGCTGGCTTGATCGTATTTAGTTTGTTGCCATTCAGCATGGCTACGACATCCTGAAGTAGTACACAAGGCTGTAGACAACTGATTTCGGAATTACTTATGCAACTGAATTTGAAGACCGAAAGCTAATGTCCAAAATATATTTTATTGTCCTTATTACTATAACTACAGTACGCGCCTCCATTCAGCTTCAATAGGCTGAGGAAGAACAGCCGAAAGCTGAGTTTCTTACCGTCCCTTTGAGCATGCTAGCATAGGCATTGGCTAGCAGTTTAGCCAATTATCGTTGAGGAACGGAGGAACCGACCAATAGGAAAGAGAAGGAGCTAAGGCGCGCGCGGGAGCAAATTCGAACGGCGGCAGTCAGTGTCTGAAGTCGATCGGAGTCTCTTCACGGTGGGATATATTTTTTCTCTCCCCTCGCCGCTCTCTCCTGACTGAGGTAAGGTACGGAGGGACGATCAAGAGATCGGCTTTTTAGGTATCGGGGAAAGGGAGACGGGGATTGGAACAAACGAAACGGGCAGGGAAGAGAAATGCTGAGAATGACTTCGGAGTATGTGCTTCCTTGTCGATATGTTTCCATACGGCTTGCAAGGCGATCGGGGCTGCAAGAAATCCGGATGATCGCTGGGTGGGAACAAAGAACCGCTCTGCCATTTTGTGGCCGTCCGGATTTTTTTTTTGCAGCCCTAAAAAATCTACTTGGAAAAAGTGAGACGAGATCTCGGGAGTTCTGAAGCCCGGTCAGAAACCAGATCGCGGATGTCGTAAAAGTTCCTTCACGTTCCTTGCATTTTCCCTCGTCGCTTTGATTTTGCTTCCTAGAAAAAGTCAGGAAAGGAAATTTCGGTCAAATTTTTCAGTAAGCCAACCTCTCTGCCTAAAAAAATGAGGCTGTGAGGTGGAGGGGGGAATGTAGGCTGCACAGAGGCATAGGAAGGGTGGTGAATGATCTCTAAATTTGGCCCTAAGCACCTCTCAACTGCAATCTTATTTTCTATTTATTCTGCAGAGTGAGATGAATATACACTCAACTGTGATTTTGTTTACTATATAAGTAGTAGGTATGGTGAGTGGGTAGTACCCTGGAAAAAAATAAGATTTTCTAGGGGTTTTCATGAGAATTCTGATTTCTTGGTCCTTCTCACCCAGCAATGCCTTTAGATGTTTTGGATTCCATCTGCTCCCTCTGTCCTCAGCCACAGCTATGACAGCTAGGAAATATAGAGTGTTGTTGTCCAAAGTTCAAAATACTCATGGAGTAATGCCTTCTTACTGGTTCTCAAAACTTACAGACAGATGTCATATTCAAACCTATCTTGAATGTTTAAAGTCAGTGCTCTGCCAAAAAGCTACAGTTCAACATATATTGAATGGAACATATATTGAATATCTATAATGTTTGAAGTTTTTTCTTTGGAATCAGATTATTGGTTTATTTAATGATACTGGCGTCTCCCTAGACATTTTTCACCATCTGTAGCAATGCCAGAGATTAAAGCTGAAATCTTGTACTTACAGAGCAGGTGTTTACCATCAAAATTTGTTTTGGCATGCCTATATTTAACTAAGTATATTGAAACAACTATTAGAAGTGATGAACACACCAAATTAACTGCTACTCTGTAGGTGAAGGCAGTATAAATTGGCATAAGAAAAAGGCAAGCAAGAACAAGTGAGAAAATCAGACTCTTGTGCCAGCTTTGCTAATTTTAAATCTCCTAATGAAAAACTGCACTTTCTAAAGCATACATTTGTAATTTACAGGCTCATTACTCAAATTATGGCAGCTGTTACTCCAAGAAAAAGAAAACGCTGTTATAATAGGTAAGTTTTAAAATCCAGTTATAAGAATACTGTATTTTTACTTATTTTATTTATATTTACTATAATCAATCCTCATCGATTAACACAATATAAATGAAAATAATTTAAAATATCCACAAGAGGCATAAAAACTAAATAATAAAACAACTCAAAGATAAAATAATTCAAAAATAGAAGCAGACATAACTGAATCTGTTTGAATGCCTTCTGGAACACTTCTGTTTTTCATCTTCCTTAATGCCCACCTGAACAGGAGAAGCTAGAAGTTTCCAGAGAAACCCTTGAACTTCTTGTTACTACTAGAAGTATTTTAAATAAACTTTATACGTATGTGTGTGTGTGTGAATTTATTTTGGAAACCTACAAATCAGAATTGTATATGAAGTCATCTTCTGTTAAGTACATAAAGTACATTAAACTGATAGATTCTTCCTCATATTTAATATTTAAATGTCCAAATTAAGACAAGAATTGAGCTAAATTTACATTCCCCTGTTGTTCCCCTGTTTAAGGGAACAATGCTCATAACACCCAGTGAAGTTTTTTTAATTCAAATTCAGTTTTAAAAAAAGATTACATTCAGTAGAAGTTTTATTTTAATGTCATAAATTCTAAACTTTTTAAGTAACAAGTAATATTTTAAAGCTATAATACAGTGTTGTTGCTGAATTAGTTCTGAGATAGGTAACGAGTAAATGTGTTATTTTTGTAGTTTACAGCTGGTAAATGAGACTCCAGCAAAAAAGTTGAGGATGGAATTCACTGAAGAAGCATCTCCAACAAAAAAACCTTCTAGTTTCCAAGATAAAAAACCCCAGAACTTGCTTGAAAGGTCAACCAGCTTGGAGAACCTTAGTACTTCACCATTGCAGAGAGCAGATGCACCAAAAGTAAAATCAAATGCATTCCCAGAGAGAACATCTCCAGTGTCAGGCACTATATATAATTCCACTGTGCCAATCAATTCCTTTTACAGTAAAGTAAATACATTTCAAAGTATACTGGAAAGAAAACAAGCAAAAGAATGTCATATAAATTCCAGAAATGATTATGCAAATTTACCTATTGCTAACAAGACAGAAGTGATACAGGCCAAGATTCAACCTTTTAAAACTTCCAAACGCTCAGCTGTTTCCAAGCAAGCCAAGACCTTATCAAGAAATACTAAAAAAGCTAAAATAGAAATGGCTGTACCTAAGCCTAAGGGGAAGGAGAATAAAAAGTATGTGGTAGAAAAGAAAATTGAAGGTTCTTCTAAAGTTCTAACCATGAAGTTCAAACCTATGTTAAAACTCCAGGTAGGGGCAGCATTTTTTGCCACTGGAAAGAGGGGGAATGGTGACTCTAAGAAGGTGTTTTCTCCCCGAAGGTCCCTCCAATTTATTAATAATACCACAGAAACTAAGAAGCAGGACAATCTTCTCACAAATACCAACATGCACTTACCTTCTGAAAGCAAAGCAGCTAAAACTGGCAGGGAAGAAAATCAAGCGGACGTATCCCCAAAAGAAAATCTTGACATTGAGGATAAGAAGACCCTGGCATGTAATAAAAATCATATTAAGGACCCTCTGGACGATATGAAATCATTACCAAATCCTAGACTTCTTCAAATTCCTCACTCTGGTTCTTTGGAGTCCCCAGCTCAGAAAGAAACTGATGTTGGGAAAGAGGTATGCATAATTTATAAACATTAGTAATTTGTCTAGTAAGTTTGATTGAAAAGAGATTAAATTCCTTAATTTGGTGACTGTTTGATTTATAGACGTGCATGTTCTGTCAAATTAGGATAAAGATAGGGTTTGTCTCTTGACCCTTGAAGGTTATTATGTGGATAAACACTGATTTATTTGGAAAGACCTCATAATTTGTAGTTTTAACAAATATCTCATTCTATTAAGAATTTCAGAGTGTTTTTAAAGATCCCACAGTCCTGCCCAATCTCCACCCCATCTTTATGCTAATTTGACAGAACATGCAGGACTACAAATCAAAAATTTCATATCTTTATTTTTAACACTATGTGCTTTTAGTTTAAGATGCAGCTAAACTTGGTTAATAAAATCAGGAATAATAAAATACAATTAACAAAAACTATGTTATATCTGACTGAAAAACATTCATTTATCTGAGCTATGGAAAATTAATCAGAATATTAAAGTTGAATAGATAGCAGTTAGGTTAAACCTGGTATCACCATATGTAAGGTATAGCAAGTTTAGAAATCCTGTGTTCTCCATGTACAGAATCTATTTTGAGGTCATATGAAATATTTCTAAGGGCCTTTAAACTGATAATTCACCCTAAAGATACTTTCAAAAGTAATTATCTCACTAAGCCTCGGTGGCGCAGTGGTTAGGGTGCAGTACTGCAGGCTACTTCTGTTGGCTGCCTGCAATTTTGCAGTTCAAATCTCAACAGGCTCAAGGTTGACTCAGCTTTCCATCCTTCTGAGGTGGGTAAAATGAGGACCCAAACTGTTGAAGGCAATAGGCTGACTCTAAACCGCTTAGAGAGGGCTGTAAAGCGGTATATAAGTCTGGACTAGAGCAATATCTAAAACAATGGCTTCACTCATGTTCCTTGGAGCTCTTACATATTGTATCCATCACTATTAAGAATATTTGAAGTTGCCCTCTTGTTAAATGAGTTAATTGTTATTTTTTGTTACTAAACAATATTAGCTGGCTTCTCAGAGAAGCTGGAATAAACAGAGGACTGTTCACTCTGTAAAATTAACAGATAGAGATTTTTATTCAGCAACATCCCATTCATGATCAAGCCATGAATTCTTTTCTATTGGAAGCCATGAATTTTAAAAGATGATCTTTTCAAACACACATGACTTTACTTCCTTTCAGCCACCCGACTTTCATGGTTGATTCTTAGATTTTATCAGGATAATAGGAGATTAGGAAAATACTACTTGCCTTAGGTAGGTTTGTCAAGTCCTTTTAAGCATTAAGTAACTAAGGAAATAATCTTTCTCTGAACTTTCTTTGTTCCTCCCTCATAGGAAAAGCCATTAATCAAGTCGGCCACTTAACCTCTCAGTAACCATAATATGAATGTACTTCATGTTTTTCTTTATTAACAATGGATTTTCAGTATTAGGATATAAATTTGTACTTATCTATACTCCTACGTTTCTATGGGGCTGCTTTATTCTGTGGGATATTATATCTTGTACAATAACAAAAAATTGTCAGAAAGAGCTCACACATGTTGAACTTGAACGGAGATGCTGCTTTCCAGTTGTGAAAAAAATGCAAGAGATGTCTTTATATTACCAATTAATCTCTCCCAAAGCTTTCTCTATCCAAGAAAGATTTAAAAAAGATCTTATTTTCCAGATACTTTATTCCAGAAGTGACCATTTGGTTTTGAGTTATTTTAATTTGCTAATTCCTCAATAAGCATATTAAAATGGCCTTTAATTATGCAGCAAAGGAGACAGAACAACATATTCCAAATCAGTTGGGTAATTTTCTCTCTCCTGTTTATTTCAAAAGTTGTAAGATATTTTTCATAAATTCAAGCAGCAAAATCTGACCAGCTCTGCCCCATAAGATAATCCCCTCCCCCACCCACTGTTTCTCTTCATCAACCAGAAATCCTTTACAGTATTCCAAAATTAAGGTGTACCTTATAGTAAGTTTTATTCATTTCATTTTATTGTCCAGAGTTCCTCTTTGCAGGAGATGGGCAGTTGATAAGTAGATAAATAAGTAAAAAAACAAGTTCAATGCTCATCCTGTTGCACTTGTACAGATGTGTAAAGGGTATATTTTTAGCCATAATCCTCTTTTCCTTTGTTGTGCCAAAACATTGTATTGCTACATTTGTATTATTTTTCTGATTTCCTTGCCAAATCCTATCGATGCTTCATTGGTGAATCAGTTCTTGAACTCCTTGCCTTTCCCACTATTCTTTGTACCTACTTTTTGTCTTTCTCCCATTGAATTGAATGGTGTGATATCTCCAGTAAATTAATTCTTTAAAATTTCTGTGTAGCTGCTAATTATAATTATTGAATAAAACATGATCATTTAATTGTCTTTTTTGACATTTGCCTCATTAATAATTTAATATGTTGTACTGTTTATTCATTATAGTTTAATTTTACACTTCCAGAACATATATTTTCATAATCTGTCGGGCTCAAGGTCCCAATAGAATTGGCACCGAGGGAACACTTCAATTTGTATAAAAAACATTTTTGTTTTTTTACAGGTTTTGGAGGAAAACTCAAAGAAACCGTCTGACAGTACAAACAAATATAAAGTTACCTCTTCCAGTAAGTTATTTATAGGTGATTATAATCTCCCATTGTTTACCAATTGGCTTCCAGGTGCATTTCATGATGCCAATTGCCACCTTTATGGTCTGAGACATATGTCAGGTTATCTGAGAGATCATATTCTCCCAATTTGATCAGACAGAAGAAAGTCAGCTCTTTCCTGGTCTTGTATATTATCTGGTGTGACCTTGGGAATGGGTATTTTTAGCCATTGCCTTCAGACCTTGAAATCCCTTTGGCATGAAGGCCTGGTTTCCTTCACTCCTAAATTTCAGGAGGGTAGTTGATATTTACGTGCTCCATCTAGAGCTTGTTATAAGTGATAGTTGAAATCTAACAGGCTTATGACTTTTGATGGTCAAGCTATCTTGATCCTCAAAAATAGCTTAAGTTCTTCCTTTTGAGATCTGGAGTACGGTGTTATGAATAATGCAAATGGGTGGATATAAATTTTATTTTATAATAAAATAAATTATTTTTTTCCCAAATATCATTTTTGGCAGACCATGTCCATTCTTTGTTCAGAACATTTTCCAGCAACAAAAAAAGGTATGTCAGTTCTGTAATATTCTCAGTAATTATATAATGCAGAGGAAGAATTTCCTATGGAGGTAAGTCCTTTCAGCAAATGTTTGAAGTTATGACAGCGCTGAACAAGTAGTACTTTTGCGGTCTTTGAAATTTTGGCTGTTGCAGCATTCCCACAATCACATGACTGGCCCACACTTAGAATGGTTGCAATGTCTTGCAGTAACATGTTCGCCATTTGTGACTTTCCTTGCCAGCTTCCCATAAACAAAGTCCACGGGAAAGCTGGCAGGAAAGATTCCAAGCCTTGCTGTTGTTTTCTTCTGAGGATCCAGTTATGGATTATGAGAGCCCACTTGCAGCATGTTGCCCTCCTGCATTCTATAGCGCACACCTGCCTGGTCATGCTTATACCACACTACAGTACCTTCCTGGATTGTGTAGCAGCCCCTGCCCTTTGCAGCCTTGCTTGTGCTACATACAGTAGCAGCCACTTGCCTGCCCCCAGCTTGCTTGCAAGCCACTTGGGATATGTAGCTTCCTGCTGACTTCCCCATTGACTGCTTATGGGAAGCCAGCAGGAAATGATCCTTGTTAAATGACCTTAAATACTTACTTAACAATGGCAATGGGGACTGGCAGGATTGCCATCACCAGGTGATGCCATCATGTGACAAGGCACTTACAAACACATTAACAATGAAAATTACCATTAAGTAAGGACTACTTGTATTCGAGCTGAAGATATAGAAGAATTGCCCTATTATTCAGGTTCACAGTCATTGAATTGAGCAAGTAAGCAATCTGTTATTTTCCTGTTACATTTCCTATTACATTTGGATACTGATTCTTATTAGCCTAGGCAGCATTGGCCAATATCAAGGGGTGACAGTTGTAGTCTAAAATAGTGCAAGTTCTAGAGGGACTGATTTCTTAAATATAAATGTCCATGTTGCAACATTCAAAATTAACATGGCTTCTGCTGGGAGAAAATTTGTTGACTTCTTGACCTTATAGCCCTAATATTAGTCTTAAGAAATGAAACATCTATATATTTATGAATCTTTATTGGTAAGATGTAAATACTATATCTTTGTTTCAGCCTACAGACTCTTCCAGATGAACAACATGTAGAATTGAGTCCAGTAAGGCAGAATTCTCCCTCCAAACTAAAAATCAACAAGAAGACAAAAGTACTGGCCAAAGGCTTGAAGGATCAAATGATCATTGTGAGTAGAGTTCTTGCAACCACAATGCTGACAGACGTGCCACGTTTTGTTTCTGAATGTGCATATTAAAGTACTCAATGGTCTCTCCTAATGTCCTAGAATGGACAGTATGACATGTTAATCCACTCTCTGCTTTTACAGGATGCTGGTCAAAAACATATTGGTGCCACCATCTGCAAATCATGTGGCATGGTTTATTCAGTTGCCAACCCAGAGGATGAAGCACATCATGTCCAATATCATCAAAGATTTATGGAGGGAATAAAATATACAGTAAGACTGAATTTAGATATAGCCTAGAGTCTGTTCTTTTTTAAAAAAATTATTCTTAGCTAAATTTATTCATCTAAATCTGTTTTCCATATTCCTTTTGCCCTTTTTGGTAGAGCTGGAAGAATGAGCAAGTAGTTGCAGAATTCTGGGATGGAAAAATTATATTGATTCTACAAAATGATCCAAAATATGTCATCAAAAAGGTGCCGCACTAGAGTTTTTCTAACCTTGTTCCTATTTTTTTTGTCTCAAAGTTATTTATCAGTTTCAGGGTTGTTCCATAATTCTTACATTTTGAGGGGGAAACAAATGCATACAGTACTCCCAAATGTTAAATAACTTCCAGCCCAAGTTAAATGTTTAAGAAATTACCAAAGGAAATATTCCCATTTTCTAATAATTTCTGGAATTATCTTTTATTACTAAATATGTTGCATGGTCTTAATTTTTGAAAAGTGATAAATAAAAGAGTTTGTGTTCAGTTTTTAGGAGCAACTTTGCAGCCACCTATTTTTGGTGTTAACATAATATCCAGTGCTTACTGCTTCCAAAAAATCTTGGTGGCCAAATAGAATTCCAGCAAAAAATGCACTTTTTATAATTCTATAACTTATTGTTGCTAGAAATGTTGCCTGTCGACACCAATTTGATTAGCTAACTAAATTACTGTGGGTTTCTTCTTTTTATATAGGCTGATGACATACGCAAACTTGTAGATAATGAACTTGGTTTTAAACATGTGGTACAGACAGATCCATCACAGACTAAAACATACTTGTTTGTATCCAATGAAAAAAAGATAGTTGGCTGCTTAATTGCCGAGCCAGTCAGACAGGTAAGCAATTTTACTGTTGAATGAAAAATCTATGGTTGAAAGAAATACATTTGTTCTGAAACAGGTGGGCAAGCCCAGAATTGTTCATATAGTGTTGACCAAGTTCAGTGGTTTGAATCAGATCCTTTTAAATTGTTTTTATTTAAAATATAACCCTTATTTAAAATAAAATTTTACAACATGAAATAAAAATGTGTTAATTATTTCAAATAAGAAACAGTATGCCTTGAATATTTAAGCTTGATTTGTAAAGTGTTTATATCTACAATACCTACACACACACACACACACAATGGAAAGTTAAGGTGATGTATCTACAGTGGCTTTTATGATCTTATGAACAGTAATTATGTATTAAAACATTTGAGAAACATTCAAGAAATTGATCTACCGTATTTTTCAGAGTATAAGATGCACCTTTTTCCTCAAAAAAGAGGCTGAAAATCTGGGTGCGTCTTATACACCAAATACAGCATTTTTTCCTCCCAAAGCCCTGCCCCTTCACCAAAATGGCCGTGCATAACCTTATGGAGGCTTTCAGAGAGCTCCTGGGGGTGAGTCGTTTTTTGCCCCCAGCAGCACTCTATAAGCCTCCATAATGCCATGCATGCAATTTTTTTTGATGAAAAGCAGGCCCGCTTTTGCTTGTTTTTGCCCCTCCCCCTTCTCCAGGAACACTCTGCAAGCCCCCCAAGGCTATTCATACCTTCTTCTTTTTTGTTTACAAAATTGGGCCCGTTTTTGTGAAAAACTGGTCGTTTTTGGGAAGTTTGCAGGGTGCAAAAACTTTTCCTTTTTGGAAAGCTCTTTAATTGATTGATGATAATTACATAGATCAAGTGTTGTGCCAGCAGAAACAAAGTCTTAAGTGCTGCAGATTGTCAGCTATTTCCTTCTCCAGCACATGTATAAATATACCTGGAAACATCTACCTATCTACCTACTCTCTCTCTCCCTACCTACCTGTTGTATTTCTCTCCCTCTATCTACCTACGTACCTACCTACCTACTCTCTCTCCCTACCTACCTACTGTATTTCTCTATTTCTATCCCTTTATGTATCTACCTACTCTCTCTCTCCCTACCTACCTACTTATTTCTTCCTTTCTCTCCCTCTATCTACCTACCTACTTTTTTTTCTAAATTGCCTTCTCAAAATCTTGGTGCATCTTATACTCCAGTGCATCTTATACTCTGAAAAATACGTTACCTAACATCTGGTAGAGGATGTCTTATTGGGCAAAGCTGTACTGCTTTTAATTTTTGGATTCTAACAATTAGTCCAGGAAAAAAATAAAAGACCAACAGAATAACAGTTAGAAGGGAAATTGGAGGGCTTCTAATCCAATCCCCTGCTAAAGCAGGAAACCCAGTAACATTTCAGACAAATGGTTGTCCAATCTCTTCTTAAAAACCTCCAGTGTTGGAGCACCCACAACTTCTGGAGGCAAGTTCATCTACTGATTAATTGTTCTGTCAGAAAATTTCTCCTTAGTTCTAAGTTGCTTCTCTCCGCTTTTTGTGTAGGCTTTCCGAGTGCTTTCAGAGCCTATAACAGAGGAGTCCCCTACTAAAAACAGCCTAGAGCATCAGCGTGCCTGGTGTTGCTCAACCAAGCCAGAAAAGGTCTACTGCGGGATTAGCCGAATCTGGGTGTTCAGCCTGATGCGGAGAAAGCACATTGCCAGCCGTTTGGTGGATGTGATGAGGTAAGGAAGTAGTGCTGGGTCCGGTCTGAAGATTTTGTAACACAAAAAATATGACACAACAGTCTTATTTTCAGATACAGTCCTCGAAGTGAGCCCAAAATTTCTGTTACCAAGTGGGACATTTGTTAAGTGAATTTTGTCCCGTTTTATGACATGTCTTGCCCCACTTGTACAGTGAATCACTGCAGCTAAGTGAATCTGGCTTCCCCATTAATTTTGCTTGCCAGAAGGTTGCAAAACGTCACTGCAACTATCATAAATATGAACCAGTTGCCATCTAAATTCTGATCACATGGCCACAGTCATAAAGTGTGAAAAACGGTCATGTCACTCTTTCCAGTCCCGTTGTAACTTTGAAAGGTCAGTAAATGAACTGTTGTAACTCGAAGACAACTTTTATTTCTTTTATGAATGTTGTAATACCCTGTTTCACCGAAAATAAGACCTCCCCAGATAATAAGCCCAATTGGGCTTTTGAGCGCATGCGCTAAAATAAGCCCTCCCCCAAAATATTGCAACACAGCAGCAGCTATGGGGTGAACATGCTTGCCACCTGCTGCACCTCAGAAATAATAAGACAAGACCTCCCCGAAAATAAGGCCAAGTGCTTATTTTGGGAAACACGGTAATTAATTTAAACTTTTATTAAATATAAAAAACCTAGATAACTAGGACAATTATATTCTTAATCTGCTTTGATGCGTTTATTTTTTCTTCCAGGCAAACATTTTTATTTGGCTGTTACCTAAGCACCAATGAAATCGCCTTTTCAGATCCAACACCAGATGGAAAGTTATTTGCAGCAAAATATTGCAAAGTACCCAATTTCCTTGTTTATAATTTCATTAGTTAAGATTAATTTATACAACTACAAAGTAGAGTTAATGAACCCATCTCTTTCAGCAAGTTATTATATAAAATGTGGTCAATGCTGTTATTGCATTGTTTTCTGCTGTAATGTGTTAATTTAAATTCGAGTTAGTATTTGATATGTAAATTGTTTTTAAAAAGTTAATTCTGAAAATTAAATTCTGAAATTTATTGTAACATCTAGAAGGGGTGAAAAAAGAATGACTACTCTAGATCTTTATTGGTACAGCCTTTGGTATATTCTAGCAAACATACTCAATTTCTTGCAGACTGATGACTGTTTTAGTAAAAAATAATACCTCAGTGCTGAAACTGAATAAGCAGGGGTGGAAAATGTGTTAAGCTACATGTTCCCAAGCTAATTTCCAGCACTTTTTACCAATGATTATACCAACTATGGTATACATCTGGAAGTTGTAATTTTTATGGAGGAAATAAAGAGTAGGAGGTAATGTAATGCTGCTATGAACTAATATTTTAAAATTATTTTGCACCTGTTCATGGAAGCACATTGCTGAAACTAGCTTTGAAAGTGTTGGAGACGACTGCAGGATGGAACTGCAATTCTTGCACTAAACATTGTTGAACCAAGTTTGTTCAAATAAATATTTTTCTCTATTAATCATTCTTTGGTATGTCAATATCTACAATAGTGAATGTCTGTTTACAAAATTTACATACTGCCCCAATCAATCATCGCTGGTTAAGTATAAAAAGTGGACCTGCTAGTTCCACTGTTGAGTCCTTTATGATCAAATGTGATCTTCATACACATTTGGTCATAAAATAATCTGCTACACACAGAAAAGAAAGAATTGTGGAATCCAAATTTTAACATAGCCTCTTACTTGTAAAAGTAAAATCCTCACATAAATACCTATCCCTTAGTTTATGGCATCATTTATTTGATCCACATAACCAGCCTGGTTCCATGGGTACTCACGATGTTCTATGAGAAACGTACACTTCAAACTATCATTTCAAAAAATTACACATACAGCCCTTCTTTCAAAGCACTGTACTCACTAACCAGAGTTTTTGATCTGACATCATTGCAATTCTTTATTAGGCCTTTTCTAGAAAAACTGGGAAGCAAGCTAAAATGAACTGTTTATTAACTGATGCTGTCAGTGTAGAGACGATGCAATTCCCATTAAACCAAGAAAACCTGAATTCCAGTATATAGCAAATGTTCTTGCAAAGTTACATTTCAGATATAAACATTTCTGAATCTCTGCTGTTACTGCAAAAGGCAATGCCTTCCACTCGTCCACGAATTTATTTCTACCTTAATTTCTCAGTAATTCCAATAAAGTGGTTTTGCCCTTCACACAATTTGGATTTATATAAGGAATGACTCAACAATGTATTACGGTATCGTGTGGCTTGCACATGAACAAAAATGTGTCCTAGGTGCTTTGGTTCATATATAGAATGAAATGAAGTTTGGTTCTGGATACAGACCAAAACACTGTTCCAGGCGTAAGTGACCTGATGTGGGAGGTAAAAAGAAAAAATAAGGGCATTGGCAGCTAGGAAAAATCAGGAGAAAGGGAATGAAAGGCACTAGGAGTATATTGTTAGGAGCAGGATACCAGCACTATCTTACTTGCCCTGTGAAATCACTCCTGATTCTTCTGAATTTTGTTTGAGACCTAGATTAACCAAAGCATTCCAAATTTTGTTCTGCTGTGCCAGTGAATCTGAATGCAATCCAAGCAATCCAAATAATTGGATTGTAGCCCCTGAAATGCCATGAGAAAATGTAGATTAGGCACTCAACAGACCAAAAATACTGCAAATGGTTGGGATCACTTAAAGTTTTCAGCGACTTTGGACAATACGCAACATCGCTCAAAACGCTTATTGTTGAACATTTTTGGGAGGAAAAAACCCTTTGACCTTTACATCATGTGTAGCCATTCCCTGAATGAACTGCAAATTCTCATGTTATGAATACTAGGTCTGAGTAACATTCGGTTGATGCAACTTACCTAGAACACAACAGAAGTTGGAGGACTTGGTCACTTCCAACCAAATCATTTATATTAATACTGAAATAGTCATCCTCATCTACATGTTCTCACATCAGCTTTATCAACAAGAAACACTAAAGGTACTGTTTGAAATAATTTATCTGACCTAAAAAAAATAGTCTGGCAGTTTTAAACAGTTTAAAATGGCCACTTAAATACATTTGAACTAGAAACTAAGCATTGAATATTCTCACGTAATATCCCTAACTAAAAATTCTGGAAGAGAACAGAGAAGTTGCCATATGGTGTAAAAGTCAATGTGAGTTGGCTAAGGTATGAACTTTTCCGACTCCAAAACATCCAAAATTTGTGCTGCTGCAGGACGGTTTCTTGGATCTTCCATAGTACACAAGGAGAAAAGCTCAACGGCTCTTTGATATGAAGGGTCCAGCTCTTCCATATTGAGTGGTGGCCGAGTTCCAAGCACTGCATAGTAGGCATCATCATCAAAGTCAGCTTCATCGAAAGAAGCATCTAGAATTACATGAGAAATGGGTCAAAAGCCATTTTCAAGAAACCATCACAAATTGCTAAGAAAAAATAATTGTATCCAGCATTCAAACTGTAGCCCAGAAACAGTACTGACCAGGGTTTGAGTCTTCTCTTGATCAGAGCGCTCACCTAAATTAAATTTATATAGTTTCCCATTTCATTAAAGGCAACTCTGGGCAGCGCATAAAGATAAAATAAAAAACAAAAAACAATACAAATATGAAAATGTAGTAATATTCTAACGTTTCCAAATTCAGTCAAAGTCGAGGTAAAATTTAAAAATGGGTCCCTCAACAATGGAGCCATTTTGCCAAGTTTCCAGTTCTGAGGAAGCCCCACACCTAATCACATAACCAAGTCCGGAGGGTCTTACAGAATTTCGAAATGCTCTCCTAGTTATGATAGCCACCTGCTCTCATTAATCTTATGCAAGTAAAATGAAATTCAGATGGAGAATTTTGAGCTTTTTTTTTTTAAACCAATACCAATCTGGTTTTAATAGAAATCTTTCCAGGCATTAAGAACAAGGTTCTCTTAAAGATGCTTTCACTTATTAAAGTAGTTGTCATGGACATGGGATTGGGTATTTTTCCATGTTCCTTCCAATTCAGTTTCTAAGAGAACATTCCTTTTTAGTCAAGTCCCAAAGGTGCTTTTCAAATGACAACTGGACTTCCTTAGGGTTTTTGAAAATTTCTCATCCAAGAAGTTTCTTTCATTCTGACTGAATGATGGGGAATAAAAGAATTTGTATTCTTTGCAGGCATCTGGTCATTATGACTCTGAAGATGGCAGTTAGCTGGGATTAAAGCCACTTGAGGATTTATCTATACCCCCAGGGTCACCTGAATCAGTGCAAATGAATGTGGAACCATCTTGGGACTGCTGAAAGGACTCTTGTAGACAGGAGATAAGTGGTGTCTGTATTCCTCCCCCAGTTGAGAAGGCTGTGTTAATAATCTGGAGATGGCTTGTGGCTGTTCAATTTTAACATAACAGTCGATGGCCTGTTTGACCCCTCTTTTAAGACAGTAGTCTTCTCTGCCCAGAATGTGGACTTTGCTGTCTTCAAAAAAAGTGACCTTTGTGCTTTCAAATGCAAATGGAGTGCTGATTCTTGTCCCAATGGGACAAGCAATCCATCTGCATTTGAAAGCCCCAAAATCACTTTTTTGAAGACAGCAAAGTCCACATCCTGGACAGAGATGACCACTGGTCTGAAACAGATAAACTGGCCATCTGCATTTCAAGAGTGATAACAACCTGATAGCAAAAAATATAAATCCTTCTACTCAAAAAAATCCAATGCTGGATTAAACTTCTAACATATTTGGCCTAAGTCCAATGCCTGAAATCATCCCAAGATCATATAAGATTTGGTTCAGCAGCTAATTTCAGTAAATTCACCGATTAAGCAATTTATAAGATGCAGGTAGCTCTGCTGTCCCATTTTGTTTGTCCCTGAAGGTCGAATTGACCATTTTTATATGGATGTAAAAAGAAGGTTCTGCTAAATGTAACACATTCTGCATCTCACCCATATCTTACTTTAGCCCACCTATTCCAATGGTGTCATCACTATGTTAATGCAGAGCTGAGACTAAAATAATAAAATAAAGTTACCCCACCAGCCAAATCAAGAATATTTAGACGCACCATCGTCATCATCTCCAAGCAGATTCAGGTGTGGTACGGAAAGTGTCATCATCTCCCACAAAGTCAGCCCAAATGAAAATATGTCAGCTTTGTCAGTGATAATACCATTTTTTTCAAGAGCTTCTTTGGGTTTCCAGGGCTCAGTGCCAATGTACTCAGCTTCTGGATCACTCACTGAACAAAAACAAATTATAGTTACAAACCAAGAGCCAACTTCAGGGTTTAGTGAAATTCTCTCAAGAAGGAAAGATAAAACAGCTCTATAAAACCAAGGAAAAGAAAGTCAAGAGCAGTTAGTGTCATAGTAACCATTATGAACAGAATTTGAATCCTTTCTAAAATTCCTTAAAGGCAAGCAACTAGGGCTGCTTGGTAAAAAATTTGTTAGACACAACTGTGACGAGCAAGAGTTCCAATTTATTTATCTAACTAATTTATAAAACTGCCCATTGCACAAGAAAGTGATTGGGGGAAATTCTGTAGCATGTATAACTTTAATCCCAGTACTGTACAGGTTCTCAGATCCATCCAGAATACTTCCAAAGGAATCTTGTATAGCAACATCCTATTGCATTCCTTTTCCATATGACAAGTAAATTAGAACACTAGAATACCTCTTCCTGCTTCCTATAAAGATCTATGTGCCCCAGCAGTTGGAAGCAGCCAAGAGAAAAGAGATTTTGGCACTGGGAAACAAGAGAAATATTACAATCCCAGTTCCTCAATTTGCATAGAATATTTATCTCACATTCCTGTCCTGAAAGAACTGCATTCTTTTGAGTCCATTTTTTGCTTTTCTAGTTTAAGAAGTTGAGAAACCTCAGACAATCAATATTCAAAAATATTTCTATATTTCACACATAATCTCAAGTATTTTGCTTTCCCTTCAGGTATAAGGAAATATGCATGAAATGGGTATAGCAGCTCTGGTTTATTTCCAAACAAGGTTGTTTATTGTCCATTGTAAAATAGACCACAAAGGCAGCTCTGACTCTAACAACAGAATTCCTTTAATGATTCAGCAGTGTGGCAGGAAGGTTGACTGATGACCACCAGAGCAAATTTCCCAATATAGTACACAGAAATAAGAACTGAAGCTGATTTTCAATGAAAGAAAATAAAGGGACACTAAATATTCAACATACCGGTCATATTTTCATCTAGAGGCAAGGAGACGCCCACATCACAAATCTTTATTGAGTCAAAGTCACCTTTAATGACAACATTAGAAGATTTTATGTCACCATGAAGCAATTTCTTATCATTGTGAAGATACTGAAAATCAAGAGAGAAGGATTTTCTTTACAAAGGGTATTGTAAGCTTTACTGTTTTTGTTTTGGTCAGCCCTTGAAGGTTCACACTGAAGTGTTGTATTCAATTTATTCAGCCTACCTTCAAGCCTCTTGCCATGTGCAATGCAACTTTGAGAATGGTGGCAGCTGGAAAAGGTTTCTTGTGTTTTTCATTTCTTTCTTCAATCAAGTCATTCAAGGACTTCTCCCCACCATATTCCATAGCAAGACACATAGTTCCATCCTTGGCTTCAGCAAATGCACGAAACCCTTCAAAACACATATTAGCATTTGTCAGTGTCCCCAGGGGCAACCTTCCATTTATTATATTATTCCCAGGTTAATTCAAACTTTAAACTAGGCCAGGACACTTTTTATAATTCTCCAAATATTTTTCAGTCTAAGTATTTATTTTTAAATAATGCTGAAAGAGCTTCAAGAAAGCTCCCATGGTACCTAATAAAGACTAATAGAAGAGTAGGGCTTGTTGCAGGATCCAATCTGGATTGGACACTGGGACTACTGATTTAGTCTTCCAAGTTTTTGGACTTGTGCTGGAACTTCTCTCTGCTGGAACATGTGTTTTGGGCTATTCTTTGAGTAGTATTTATGTGGTGCTTGGTTGGGTGTGGCTTCCGAAATCTGAAAGCTTGGAAGACTAAACCCCTAATCCGGTGACTGGCCCAGATTGATCCTGCAACATTATCCTGGGACATGTGTATTTGCCTTCATTCGTAGTAGGACTTGTCATATACATCAGTACAGTTTGCTTATGTCTACTTGAGGACATTTCTCTATATTTAGCCAGATGGAACCATGGAAACATCAACTAAAAAGGCTGACAAATATGAATAAGTATCTTCCACTTTCCCCACTTAATCTTACCCACAATGTTTGGGTGCTGAAGGTTTTGTAGAATACTAGCTTCTTCATTCAGTCTCTTTTGATAAATACTTTGCTGACTGGAATTACATTTGGTATTTATTTTTTTCACAGCCCAGGGAGAGCAAGAGATCCCTCTGGGAGACCTAGACAAAAAGAATTTTAGTTAAAAATGTGGGTCTAGATAAATTGCTAAGACTACTATATATGAAATACCAATACCATTATTTTTGTATCATTTCTCCATCACTACTAAAGCCAATTCTATTATCTGGTTCAAAAACAATCAATAATTAATGTATACCTCTGTCTCGTAATATCAAAACTCCTCTTAATGAGCTATCTCAGAATAACAGCGTGTAACAAATAACTAGCAGAAAGCAGGAATAACTCAGATTATCATATCAGAGGTGCAGAGCAGACATAAGACAATCTGACGCGTCAAATAAATCGAATAAATCCAGATTTACTGTGCTTGTAACAATCAATTAGTAGGGTCAGAGTTAATCACTCATTTTTTCCAACTTTACTAAGTGACATATGAGGTGATGTTTTAGAAATCTCAATATGTTGGAATAAATCAATTAAGATAACATACCGTTTCATAAGATAAACATTGACACCAGTTCCATATCCCAGTTTTCGCATGAAGGGAGAGGCTGGAATAGATAGTGTAGACGAAGGATTTTGCCCTATATTGTAAAAAAAGAAACATGCTGCTTATGGTATAGGACATACATTTTTGTTATAATTCCAAGAATGGTTTTTCTAATTCAGTAACCAAGATCACACTTTATCAAGTGTTTCTTGCACAATCTGATGATGAAAACTCTTTGAAGTTTTTGATATGTTGAGATGTCATAGTGCTTTTCTCTCTCTCTTTAGGGATGTGCTGAAGGATCTGTCTTTGGTTTTTTTTAAAATAAACCTATTTCAATTTCAACCATATATCAGGCAATTTGGAGTCAGCATTATCTCTTCACATTCACTATCATGGAAGCAGAGTGATTCATAAAATGGTAGCCATGGAAACATGGTCATATACATTTAAAAAGTCTCCCAAATATGAAATCATTTATACTAATCTTTTGTCTGTTACATTTGAATAAGAAGCATTTAAGCACATTTAGAGAAAATTTACACGTTTATTCCCTCTCCAAATCCATCACTCTCATATTTTAGAATTCATTGCATTCTCTCTCTCACTACTGCAATGTGCTCTACATGGGGCAGCCCTTGAAGAGCATTTGGAGACTTCAACTTGTCCAGAATGCAGCCGCGTGAGCGATTGTGGGTGTACCTCGATACACCCATGTTACACCTATCCTCCACGAGCTGCACTGGCTTCCAATCGGTCTCCGGATACGCTTCAAGGTGCTAGTTATTACTTATAAAGCCCTTCATGGTATTAGACCTGGGTACTTGAGAGACCGCCTGCTGCCAATTACCTCCCAAAGACCCATTAGATCGCACAGGGTCGGCCTCCTTCGGGTTCCATCCGCCAGCCAATGCCATCTGGCTACGACCCGGGGGAGGGCCTTCTCTGTTGCAGCTCCGGCCCTTTGGAACGAACTCCCCGCGGAGATTCGGACCCTCACCTCTCTCCTGGCCTTAAAACCTGGCTGTGTCGGCAGGCCTGGGGTTGATGAGCTCCCTTCCCCTCTCGACAGGTGTGGTTGTTGGTTATTTTAAATGCCTGTCTTGTATTTGTATGTTCCCTTTCCCGTTTGAGTTGTTCGCCGCCCTGACTCCCAATAGGGAATAGGGCGGCATATAAATAAAATAAAACTTCAAACTTCTCTGCCAACAGCAATATGTGTTACTGGTGGGAACTAAGTTACCACCTTTTTTGCAGAGATTTCCTCCCCAGTACAAATCAATCTGAGCACTTCACTTATGCAAAGGGGAATATTGTGTGCCAAGAGCTATGTTTACCTTTAAGTCATGTACTGCCATATATTTTGTGTTTCTATCACAAAAGCCTTGCTCTGAATCTAAAATATTTTCCCGATTTTTTCCTAATACGTTTGAGCGCTTATCATTATAAATTGATCATTTAAAAAAAAGTTAAATTAACCAATGGCTCTCAAGTTTCCCCCATATCTTCACTAAGAACAGCCTCACCGGATTTCCTCCTTGTTCCTTCTCGTTTACTGGGAGTCTTGAAAGCAGCTTCGGCAGCCATAGTGATGGATGTTTCTGCAGGAAAAAGGAGGGGACAATTTTGCAACTGGAAGCCTGTTCAATGCACAAATGCAGATTAAAGCAGATATCTGTCCCTCGCCGGCTGAAGTTTGCTTAGGGAGCCCAGAGGCAAAATTAGTTCTATATTAATAGTAAGAAACAGTATAAAACAGATCAAATGACTTAATAACTAGATTGGGGAAAACAGCAGTTAGGTGAGATGCTCCCCCCTTCTTAGACCGTTAAGTGTCTTCCCGAGAGAGGAAGCATCCAATTCAGCGCGTGCAGAAGCACAACCTTTCACGGCAGGGCTGGCAGGGTGAGAGACAGAATTTTTTGAAAAAAACTCCGCGCCACCGTTAACGAGAAGACACTCACCAACACAACACACAGTCTCAACCACTGCAGCAGTTTCCGCCACCGTTTGAATCTCTGCTGGCGCTTGCGTAAACAGAACGTTAAGCGGAGGCGGGGCAAAGGGGAACGGACCAATTGGAGGTTCGGGACACGTAGCGGACGAATTCGAGGAGTGGCTAGACTCGCAGAGGTCTTCATGCTTCGCCACTTTAAGACTTGTGGACTTCAACTCCCAGAATTCTCCAGCCAGCTCTGGTCTGCTGGCTGGAGATATCTGGGAGTTGAAGTCCACAAGTCTTAAAAGTGGCCCAGTTTGGGGACCCCTGGGCTAGAGATTCTCATGGGCAGCCGGCGCATTCTCAGAGAGGGCGAATCAGCAGCTGAACGAGAAGCGGGATTTCAACAGCAGATGGAGTGGGCAAATGGGCCAAAAGATTACTGTCCTAGAGTTTTTATTATTATCCTAGAACAGTTACGGGTTGCTAACGGAGACGGATCAAGAAAGCACCAGGAATAGGAAAACAAACCTCATATGATTTCGGGCTCGTTTGCTCACTACAACCGAGCTAATTTGAGTCGCTTTATTGGTGAGAAGGGCGGCATATAAAATAACAAATGGCAGTGCCAATTCGAAAAGGCTAGGGGAAGAAAGACTGGGGTTAATATTTGCATGAGGACCTTCCCCCTCCCCAGGAATGCCAAGGTTATTAGCTGGTGTTGAAAGAAATGTCCTTCTGGGTTCAGCTCCAAGTGGGGAAGAAGACACTGGAGACATGGCGGC